CTATAATGTGTGTGGATGGTGCGGCGTCTCTGTCAGGTAAAATATGGTGAGTCCTTAATTTCTACGGATGTTGCAGAACATAAACCAACACAAAAGGAGAAGGGTAAGTGCTACGAGGCGTTCAAGTGGTTTTCCCATTGTTCATCTGAGCCAGGTCGAGGAAGTTGTCCGTTCTGTTGAGGCTTTCTGATCGAGAGCATGTTGTTTTGCAGACTGTTTCTAGGATTTGTTTTCAGACCGTGTTGGCTTGGTGCTTCACCAGCTGTTTTCCCTACCGGGGAGGGCTAGTTATACATTCTCCCTTTTGGTTTCTCTAGCACATGACAGCTCTTCCAAGGCTTTTGCCAGTTCCCAACTGGGACAATTCAATATGGCCACAAGTCATACAAGGAAAAATTACTTCCAGAAAGGAACAAAAACCCCAAACTAAATGTTAACAAAGAATATAAACATGAGCTTCCAAATGTGTGGTTGAGACCGGGGGATGGTGGGGAATACACCACAGCTGACTTGTGGACTAGATTTCCATGGGTTATGACTTGATTGGATTGTGCCCCTGCAAAATGGATCAATGTCTTAGCACTCCTAAACAACTGCAACTTATCCCAAAGTAACATCCAGGTATTAGAGACAGCACGGGCCCCTAAACAGCAACTTGTGGGAGTATAAGGGCAGAAACAATGGAAATGCTTGGTTTAAAATGTTGCTTATATTATAAAGCTCTTTCTCATCTGTATCCCACGGTCACTGCAGGCCTGAGCAAAAACCTGTGACCTTAGGCACGAGTGATGCACCTTCTCACAATTTTCATCTAGTCACCAGCTTTCTTTTTCACACTGTGCTTTTGGAGACGTGGGGGTGAGGGGGTCTATCTAATCTTTTCTTTCTGCTAAGCATGCATATGAAGCAGTCCCTTGCATTTTACACAGGAGTTCTCTTTGATCAAACGTATTACTTCCTTACCCCGTGGTCCTGCACGGGGTCAAGTGTGCAAAACTCCTCCCAAGGAGCGGTGTACTCGGTACATCCCAGGGGTCACGGAGAGCCTGGCCTGCTCGGGCCTCAAGTGCAATGAAGGTGCTTGGTACTAAACATGCCTCAGCATTTGCGAAGGAAATCCAAATCGCACTGAAGGGTCACAGTGTGCTTGCTTTTATGCCAGCGCTCAGCCGGCATCATGTCACTGACATTAAAGGAGCTGCTCTAGAATCTGTCCCTGGGTGTGGGGGGGTTGTGTTTCACTAATAGAAAACGCAGCAAGGAAAACACCTTTTGTCCACCATAGGATAATTATTTTGCTGCCTTAAGAACCATGAGCCTTGCATTTTGTGGTGTTATTTACACTTTTCCAAAGTGGACAAAACTTTCTATCAAACCCAAGAAGAATTTGCCATTTACTTCGTACAGGATTAAATAATTCCAGGTTTTAGGTCATGGGGCTTTGGCAGAAAATTGACATTGCCACCCAGCTCAGACTTCCCCAGGTGCTGCAGAGCCAGCTTCGCTGTCTCAGAAGGACTTCAAAAGTCTAAACCAGTCCAAAAGGTGGAGGTTCAGTGGGGGCAAAATGTATCTGCACCCAAGGACTGGAGCCTCTGCTTTTATTCTCCTTTTCAAAAGTGAGGATAGTTTGGAAGTTGGCCTATCTGCATAGCTCATAATCATAGACTTGGAGAAAATGAGGGTGGGAAGGGCCCTCAGGAGGTCACATCTAGTCCGACCCCCTGCTCAGGGCCAGCCCCAACTAGTTCATCCCAGCCAAGGTTTTGTCAAGCCGGACCTTAAAGGCCTCCAAGGATGGAGAGTCCACAGTCTCTCTGGGTAACCTGCTCCCTTCCTTCCCCACCTTCCTAGTGAGAGTTTTTTGCTCATATCCAACCTAAACCTCCCTTGCTGCAACTTGAGCCCATTGCTCCTTGTCCTGTCATCTGCCACCGCTGAGCACGGTCCAGCTCCATCCTCATTCAGCCCCCTGCAGGGAGTTGAAGGTTGCTGTCAAATGACACTTAATTGATGGCTTCCAGGCATCTGAGTCACTGAGCTCGTAGTCTATAACCCACGAGGATGCTGGCAGACCCAGGCGGGTCTCTCCTCAGCAACTGGCAGTGCCCCATAATCTCCAGTACCTAAGCACCCCGGTGCCCCCAGCTCTGATCCCGGTTGTTTTCTTTCCTCACCCCTCCAACCACTACACTCCAACTTTGCTCTCACCAGCCTAGTCCCCTCCACCTTCCCCTCTCACCTTACTCAGGCCAGGTCCCTCCCTTAAGTCCTGCTGCCTCTCCTAGTTCCTCTTTGCCTCCTCGCTTCCCCGCTGCGCATTCCTCTAGCGCCCTGACCCCTGCCTTCACTTCCTCCCAGGGTCCTAGGGCCCTCGGCCTCCTCGGACCCCATCCTGTGCTACCCCCTTCTACTGCCCCAACGCTGCTCTCCTACACC